TCGTAAATAGTTTGGGAGGAAAAGATAGAAGAGCGTAAACTGTTTATCCGTAAAGCAGTAAAACGATATAGTTGAATTTATACATGATTTATAGACAAGTAAATCGATTTGATCCTAAAATAATACATAAATTAGGCAAAAATGTAAGGCTTAGCCTCAGATAAAACAGGGAACAAGGTCCTAAGATCCTAGAATATACTTGTCAAAAATTTGTGTGCCTCCAATGATGGTAGAGCTCACTATTTATAGCTATACCTAGGGAACAAGGTCTTAGGATCAAGCACATCTTAAATGATAATTATGAGGGCTATTGAAGAATGTGTAATGGTAGGCAGTGAAGGCCATATTCTTTGTAATGGACCGTGTACTTATTGCTATAGAATATTCTTCATCGAATGCTACCAGGTGGCAGACATTTATTTCGCCTTTATGGATGTCATTCTCTCTGGTAACAAACGAAACCATTGCCTTCGGCCCCGACTATCTTCTGTCTTCGGCTCAACGTGTCGCTTTCTCATGCAATCATTAAATATGAACATATTTTACCCTAAACAGATAGCCCCTCTGTTTTTTGGTGGCATAACTTTGTGTCACCAGAAAGTTGGTAAAGATACCTTTTTTGGCGGAAAATTCTCTGACCCCCTCTTAAAAATTTTCGACGATTGATTAGATGCACGCTTTCCACATTTAATGCCACGAACACGCGTTATCCCATGATTCATTACCACTTTTTCCGGTTATCGAGGTAATTATGACCGCCACGATTTTAGCCGCATATTTCTTTACTTGAACGCATCAAACTTCTTCATATACACTTCATAATTTTCCAAACTTTCTCAAACCATCTTTTTCAACTTTCTCTAAACCTCTTCTTCAGAGAAAACCTCTTCATCTCTTCTGATAAAAATGGCTTTTTCTTACAAAAACCTAGTTCCTCAAAGAACAAAGGTAAAGTTGATGATGATGCTACTTCTACAGTAAGCATCATCATTCCAAAGAGCCTAGTCACAACTAAAAACTTCGAAGAGAAGTATCCTTCCGTTAATCCCCGCATATGGGTTGTTAGCGTGTACTCTTCTTCTATCTGTCCCTCCAGTATTCCTGCTGTGAAGGAAGACTACTATTGCAAAAACCTAAACATTATCGCTCCTAACCTAGTGGAGCGGATAACCTTACCCAAGAAGGGTTTCACGTATTTTTATACGTATCCCTTCACTTTGGGGCCATTTTCTTTGAGCGGAGAGCTTGACTTCGTTATCGTGGAGTTATGCATCCGTTACAAGGTATGCCTGGCATAAGTAAGTCCTGTTGTATGGAGGACTATTGTTTGTCTTCACCGTCTATGCTAGGAGACTGGGGATGAGCTAACCCTAGCTCGGTTAATGACCTTTATTCCCCAAGTTTTTTCGTGGGGGAATGATAAATTTTAGCAAACGTGGCCACCATGCTTTACTAACCAGCATGGATGATGACAACAACAATAGGTGGATGGAACAGTTCGTTGCAGTTTCTACCAGAGACATCATTCCGGCCATGACTCCATCCTTTCCAGAATTGTGGAACCGTACTCGTAAGTTCATCATTTGTCTCTTCTTCTAGTTAAAGATCACCCCATGTTGTTACTGATTCCTCTTTATTCACATATTTCAGCAACTTAGTGAACACCACCTAGGGATGAAGGCTTGGTAGTGGGTCCAAAAAATTTTGGATGTCACAACGCCCGAGACCCGCACGTGGAAAAAACTAGCTCTTAAATATGGGTAGAAGGCCAAATATCATGGTAAGTTGAACTCGTCTTGTTTTTACCTTCCATATAAGGAAGTTGATTAACCTTTCTCTCCTATTGAATTAAGGTCTACCTCATGGCTCAGTTGTCGTCCCTGAGAAGGACTTTTGGCTAATCCTACTAACGCGGCAAGGCTGTTGTAGGAGGTTTTACCCAAGTAGGCATCTCCGGGCCTGCTTTTAGTGCAAGTGCTCCTTCTCGGAGTCCCCTGCCGGAGAATAAGCAACAAAAAAGATGACGATGCACTGCAGCTAGGGAAAAAAATAAAAAAGCAAAGAGTTCAACGCCCGAGCCATCCCCAAATGTTGTGGTGATGAGTGTCGCGCCCGAGCCAGTCAAAGACACCTTGGTGATTGACAATGATGGATAATATAGTGATGAGAGAGCTTCTCTACATGGAAAACAACGACCTTAAAGAGCTCAATAGAATGCTCAATCTGTTGAGGTAGTTACGCCAAATGAGGATGATGCCTTGGCACTCTAGGGGAATATAATATTGGAAGATGCCAATTCTCGATTTCGAGTCCCATTCGGTGTTCCCGGTACCATGAGGCTGAGTATTGTTTCTCTTTCATCCTCTGTTGATGATCAACCAACAACTAGCACTATGATTGCCGCAACTATTCCTCAACCTACAACACCATCAGCTTCATCTCCTTCTTCACCAACTCTGCCTTTGCTACTAGCAATTGCTGCATCATCTCCACCGGCCGCAGTTGCCCGAGAGGAGGATGCCTCTCTTACCCAGTCCCCAGTTCATGGGAATTTAGGGCAAAAGTATGTTGTCCCCTCCGAAGATCCCCAAAGGAGGAGGAGAGTCACCATTTCGATCTCTATCAGATGCCATCTTCTATCCCGGCCGGTAGAACTTGCTAATTATCTGAAGCCTTGGCTTCAGAAAAAGATAGGGATAATATACAAACTCTCTCATGAGAGTATTTGTTGAATAATTCCATGCACAACGCAGTGGTGGTATAGCCTTTGTTTCCCCTGTTATTTCTTTTTATCTTTGTTATGACAGGGTTTTGAGTTTACATTTTTGTTTTGCAGGACAACTTTCTTGCTTCCAAGGGCCTTCACATGCTGATTCGTGATAATGAGGAACTCATCTGTGAGCGGGAACAACTTTTGGCCGAGAGAAATCGGACTGTTGCTCGCCTCTCAGAACTAGAAGCACGAATTGCTGATGTTGTTGAGTTGGAGGCTTAGTTGCAGCAAAGCAAGCAATAAGTAGTGACCCTTAGCTAGGAGGTTGCCCCATTAAGGGCACAATTTGAAGAAACTAAGGCCAAATAGGTTAAAGTCCATAATGTCGTTCTTGTTGCATCTGATGGAGAGGTTGTCTCCATGGAAAGGTGGAGAAATTTGGAGGCAGCCTTAAACTCCAAAACTGAAGAAGTTACCGTTGAGGCGAAGTATTCCCGGTTGGAGGAGAAGCATAAGAGGACCATCGAGCACAATAAAGTTATCAGCTCCACTATTCGTGACCTTGATGTCAGCCTTGGGGCCAACAGATCCGCACGGGATAATCTTTTTGCCTAGCTTGACCGACTTAAAGAAGAACTCCAGCATCGAGCGGCTTCCCTCGTTGTCGAAAAAACATATGCTATGTATAGTATGAGGATAAAAACCTTGGAAGAGGCCAAAACGGGTGTCATTGACTTTGATGCCAAAATTGCTAAGGCCTGTGAACTGGAGTCGACTACCAAAAGGGGTCTTCCGGCTCGACCTGATGCTACCGGCTTTTTTGGTTCCGATTTCGAGTTCTCGGGAACTAAAAAAGAACCAGAAGGTGATGATGTGGAAAGCCAAAATGGTAAAGACCAAGATATTAAGTCGGCAGCGGATCCTCCCACTTCCCCTGAGGGCGTAGATGTTTCTCTTCCTCTGGGTTCCGTAGATGCAGTAGCTTAATTTTGGCTTTCTTTTCTTTCTCATATCTTTGTACTTGTGTTGTCTGGCACATTTATTGTGAATGAAAGCACTTTTTCGTTCAAGTATCGTGCAAGTATTTTTCTTTGTGTACTTTTTATTTAAGTATTCTTGTAAGTTTTCGGCGCCGAGATATGCCAGGCTTCGGGTTTGATTTTCCCCGGTAGTAATTGGATTCCAGGCATAAGTTCTTTTGAAATTAGCCCTTTGACATGAGGGTTTTATTTAGTATTTGGATTTCGGGCACAAATTCTTCCGAAATCGATCCTTTAACGTGAGTGTTTTATAAGAGAGGACCCTCTTATGTTTACCGTGCTCTTGAAAAGGACGTCTCCTGTTCATTACGGCATTAGCATTTGAAGTACTTTTTTAACTTTCAAATGATAAAATCAATTCATCTTTCAAACAAGAAACAAGATAGAAATAAAAGGACTTTACTTTATTCCTTCCATTTTCAAAAGTACATAATCATTCGTTGTGCTAAAAAGAAATTTTATTTCTTGTGGCTAACTCGCATAACTTATTTCTACAAGACTGGCCGTGCAGTCCCCGGACCCGTTGATACAACTATGTTTTTGGACTTCGTATTCGGATTGATATGGCAGTCATTGTTGCAGTATCCTCGTATCATTCCCCAGTGTTCGAATGCGAATAATGCGAATTTGAACACTGGAAATTTTGCACCTTTGAGGAATCCACTAGTGAATTGCTAGATAATCTACAACTTGATAGCAAACTTCACTTCCTCTTAGAAATTTATGCTATCGAGCCAAAGATTATCTAACAATCCCCAGTGGCTTGCACTTGTGAACAGTCGGGTAATCTTTGTTTGACAGCAAATTGTACTTCCATGTAGAAACTTTGCTTTCGAGCAAAAAATAATCTAACCACTTTGTAGTGGTTCTTTGCTTGTGTGCCTCGTCATTTAAAGGTCTTATTTCTGCTGTTGAAAATTCGTTCGTAGTATTCTTTTCATTGCTGCCTCGTATGACCCTTTCCCGGTGATAGTTGAAATCTGGTAGGGGCCTTCCCATGTCGGACCTAGCTTCCCCGCATTGAGATCCTGGGTGTTCTGAGTTACTTTCCTTAAAACCAATATCCTACTTTGAAATAACAGAAGTTGGCTCTTCAATTATAATATCTTTTTATTCTCTGTTTTTGGGCTGCCATCCTTATATGCACCAAGTCTCTGTGTTCATCGAGCCGCTCCAAATTGACCAACATTGCTTCATTGTTTGTTTCTTCGTTCGCCCAAAAATATCTCAGGGTAGGTTCTCCCACTTCAATCGGGATCAAGGCTTTTGCTCCGTACACAAGAGATAAAGAAGTCTCTCCCGTGCTCGATTTGGCCGTTGTTCAGTACGCCCATAGTACTCCTGGACAGTTCTTCGGGCCATTCACCTTTAGCTGCTTCCAATCCCTTTCTGAGATTTTGTACAATTACCCTGTTTGTTGATTCTGCTTGATCGTTTGCGCTCGAATGATAGGGTGATGATGTGATCATTTTGATTTTCAAGTCTTCAAGAAACTTTATGACCTTTTCACCTATAAATTGCGGCCCGTTATCGTAGGCTAACTCTTTTGGTATCCCAAACTTGCAGATTATATTCTCCCATAAGAAATCTACCACTTTGTGTTCTCCGACCTTCTGATAATGACCTGCTTCAACACACTTAGAAAAATAGTTAGTTAAAAACAAAAGAAACTTTACCTTACCAGGGCTGGTGCAATAGACAAACTATATTCATCCCCCATTTCATGAACGGCCATGGCGACAAAATTGAGTGTAGTGGCTCTACCGGTTTGTGAACCAATGGTACGTAGCATTGACACTTATCACATTTTTGAACATAAGCCTTGGTGTCGTGTTCCATCCGGGGCCAGTATTATCCTGCACTAGTTAATTTTAACACCGGGGAATTCGCGCCTGAGTGATTTTCGCAGATCCCTTAATGGACTTCTCGAATGACGTAATTAGCTTTGGAAGCTCCCAAATATTGGGCTAGCGGGCCTTGGAAGATCTCCTGTATAATTGACCTCCTTTGAAACTATATCGAGCTGCTTTAATACGCAGCGCCCGAGATGTCTTAGGATCTTCAGGCAATTTTCGTGTTCGAGGTAGTCAATGATCTCATTTATATAGTCCCACACCAAATTGGTCACATTTACCTCGTAGTAGATATATGCATCTAATACCGAATGCATGAGCTGCAAGACCGTGCTGGAGTTCAATCCCTTAATTTCCGTGGACGATCCTAGATTGGCTAGTGCATCTGATTCTGCATTCTCTTCTCTAGGGATATGAGCAATTGAACATTCTCTGAACCCAGCGAGCAGAGCCTATACTTTTATTATATATTGTTGCATGCGTTCCTCTTTGGCTTCGAAGATCTCGTATACCTGATTTACTACCAATTAGGATTCGCATTAGATTTCTATGACCTCAAAGTCCAGTCCCCGGGCCAACTCGAGTCATGCACTCAAAGCTTTATACTCTTCTTCATTATTAATCAGTGAAACGATTTTTATGGCATGCCTTAGGGTTTCTCCCCAGGGCATGGTTAGCATTATGTCGAGCCTAGACCCCTTCATGTTGGAAGCTCCGTATGTGAACAAGGTCTAAACTCCTGATGTCGATCCCGACACCATCACTGCTTCTTTGGTAGCCAAAGGCAACAATCTCAGACTGAAATCGACCACAAAGTCGGTCAAAACTTGTGACTTAATCGCAGTCCTAGGTTTATATTTTATGTCAAATTCACTCATTTCGATGGCCCACTCGGCTATCCTGCCTGAAAGTTTAGGTTTATGAAGGATTTTCTATAGGGGAAAAGTGGTCACCACAACTATCGAATGACAATGGAAATAAGGCCTTAGCTTTCGAGCGGCGACTATGAGGGCTAAGGCTAGTTCTTCCAGGTATAGATAGTGAGTTTTTGCTCCCGTTAAAATTCTACTAATGTAATAAATGTGAGATTTTGTACCTTCATCCTTACGGACTAAAATGGCACTTACCACTATCTTTGAGACTGATAAGTAGATCAACAGTTGTTTGCCTTTCCTTCGATTTCGACAACAATGAAGGACGTGACTAATACCTTTTCAAATCCCTCAAAGCCTACTGACATTCCGGAGTCCATTCGAAATTGTTGTTCTTTTTGAGTAGTGAAAAGAAATGATGGCATTTCTCCGAAGACCTAGAAATGAATCTGCTCAAAGTGGTCAGTCTCCCTATCAGCCTTTGAACCTCTTTCACACTTGATAGCTGGTCAGGGATGTCTTCGATGACTTTGATTTTGTTGGGGTTAACCTCGATTCTCCTTTGTGACACTAGGAATCCCAGGAACTTACCGAAGCTGACCTCGAACGCATATTTTTCGGGGTCGAGCTTCATGTTATGCTTCTTTAAGATGTCAAAGGTTTCTTGCAAGAGTTTAAGATGATCACCTGCGTTCAAAGACTTAACCATCATATCATCTATGTAAACCTCCATAGTGTTCCCTATTTATTTCTCAAACATTTTATTCCCGAGCCTCTGATAGGTGGCTCCAGTGTTCTTAAGACCGAAGGGCATCACATTATAGCAATATGTGCCAAAGTTTGTTATGAATGAAGTTTTTTCCTAATCCTCCAGGTTCATCTTGATTTGGTTGTACCCGGAGTAAGCATCGAGGAAACTAATTAACTCGTGCCTGACTGTTCTACCAATCATTTGATCAATATTTGGTAGTGGGAATGAGTCTTTTGGGCGCGCCTTATTTAAATCCTTGGTAGTCTACGCACATGCAAAATTTATTATTCTTCTTTGGAACTACTACTACGTTAGTTAGCTAGTCAGGATATTTTACCTCTCAAATTGAACCGATATCAAGAAAGCGAGTTACTCTTCTTTGACGAATTTGTTTCTGACCTTGGCAATAGTATGTTTTTTCTGTCTTATCGAAAGGATGTTGGGATCCCAAGTTAGTTTGTGCACGACCACTTCTGGCGGGGATACTTGTCATATCTGCATGTGTCCATACAAAACAATCGACACTAACTTTAAGAAATTCGATAAACCAAGACCCGAGCTCGGGGGTGTAATCTTGTCCCCAAGTAGAACTTCCTCTCCAACAACTTTTCGAACAATGCAAACTTGTTCAAGTTCTTCTGCTGTGGATTTTGTTGCATTCGTTTCTTCCGATACCTGATAGGATTCCGGCGGCTCCTCCCCTAGTTGACTTCGCTCAGCTCGGGAGCAGGTGCTGATTCTTGTAATTTCTAAGCCATGTGCTCCTTCCCTTTGCTTCTAGAAACTGAGATTGCATTCATCTCCCTTGCTACTGGTTGGTCACCTCTTATTTGTTTAATTCCCTTGGGAGGTTGGAATTTCAGCAACTCATGATATGTTAATGGCACAACCTTCATCTCGTGCAACCATGCCCTCCCCAGTATAATATTATAGCCCATATCACCGTCCACCACCTCAAAGAGGGTCGTATTCATCGCCCCCTCAGCATTTGTGGTAAACAAGATCTCTCTTCGGGTTGTCACGCTTGCTAGGTTGAACCCTGCGAGGAGTTTTGTGGCCGAAATGATACTTCTTGTGAGATTGGCTTGCTCCAACACTCTACATTTGATGATATTTGTAAGGCCCCATAAAATTTTGCCAATGGATTTATGGTTTGTAGTGCCGAGGTAGACTCAGGTCAGTAGGGTGAGTCAATTTAGTTGACCTCATGCCCGTTGCGTGAAGTGTAGGAGATATAATTCGGGGGTATGTCACTATTGTACCAATGTATGTTATGGATGTGGAGTCGAGGGGCATCATTTAAGGTGCTGCCCCATCAACCTAAAATCACCAAGTAAGTCGCTCTTTGCTACATCATTCTAAACACTGCATAATTTTCCTTGTGGTATACGTACATTTGCTTATTTGAGAATGCACCATCATAATACTTACCTACATGGCATCGAATCTTATGTAAAGCGGCCTAGTGTTGAGTTCTTTTTTGAGCCACTCTCTTTCTCTATCCTCTGTGTGTGTGGCTCACATGGCTTGAACAGTCACTTTACTCCCTTTGTGAACATTATCATGAATTCGTTTCACTGTATGGTAACATAAGAGCACATCTCAACACCTATCATATGTGTTCATGTAAATTGAAATTGTCACTTGTCCGCATAAAATCTCTCTGAAATTTGGGACTCGCACACATTCGTTATATGAAGATCTTTTGTTAGCTCATCTTAGTATAGCTTTCATGTCCACTAAGATCATTCCGCAGTAAGTAACTCACCTTGTTCCTAGTATTGTAGTTGCCCATGACATGGGCCGGTATTGCAGTTTGGGAGTTATTATAGCTAAAACATATCTAGCTCATAACAAATGTCTAATCTCTCTCTACACCCCTGCAATATCTTTGGGCTGTGTTCCTTAGTTAGTAAACTCATTGTGCTAGTCTCTTGACACTTGATGGGATGACCATGAGAGAGCGTGTCCTTCCACGAGTTGATTTAGCAATTCCTTTTTCATAGGATCCTTAATAGGTCAAGACTGAATATACTTTTAGAGAGCGTGTCATTTCACGTCTGCTCATTAGGACTTCCTATTCCGCAGAGGATTATGTCAGGCTTTATATCAAGAAGATAGTACGAATGCATGGTGTCCCTGTATCTATTATCTCGGATAAAGAAGCTCAATTTACATCTAATTTCTGGAGGTCCTTCCAAAAATGATTGGGGACTCAGGTAAGTCTTAGTACAACATTTCATCCCCAGACAGACGGACAGGCTGAGCGCACTATTCTGACACTTGAAGGCATGTTACGAGCTTGTGGGATAGACATCAAAGGTAGTTGAGATGATCATCTGCCGCTTATTGAATTCACATATAATAATAGCTACCATTATGGTATTCAGATGGCTCCATACAAAGCTCTTTATGGATGGAAGTGTAGGTCGCCTATAAGGTGGTTCGATGTTGGGGAAACTATGTTAGTAGGACCAGAATTGGTACAACAGGCAATCGAGAAAATTAAGCTTATACAGGAAAGACTATTAGCAGCAAATCTTATGCGGGTAATCGATTACGAGACTTGGAATTTCAGGTGGACGACTGGGTATTCCAAAAGGTATCACCGATGAAAGGTGTCATGAGGTTCGAAATAAAAAGGAAAACTTAGCCCTCGATACATGGAATCATAGAGGATCATACGCAAAGTAAGCCATGTAGTATATGAGTTAGACTTGCCTTCAGACTTGGAGTCAGTACATCCAGTCTTTCATATGTCTATGCTCCGTAAATATATCGGAGATCCTTCTAGAATTGTGTTAGTTGACGACGTTCAGGTCGCAGAGTAGCTGTCATATGAAGAAACTCATGTTGCTATATTAGACGGACAAATTCGGATATCGATAACTAAAGACGTAGCTTAGGTAAAAGTACTTTGAAAAAAACAACAATGTGGAAGAAGTGACTTGGGAGGCCTAGGGAAACATGAAGTCTAGATATCCCTACTTATTTCCTCCACTAAAGAAGGATCCGACTGAGACGTCATAACCTTAAGGTACGTGTATGGATTCTGGTGTTAATTATTATCATTAGTCATGTAAGGCCATTGTCGTTATTAAGGGTCGTGGTCCTGTGTGGCATTGAATTATTAAGTTTTTACAGGAAGAGTTGGTTGTAGTATTGTTGCCAAGGGAGATTCTGCCAAGGATATATAGATCCCAGAGAGTTAAACATTCGAGGACGAATTTTTCTAAGGGGGGAAGGATGTTACATCTCG